AAAGAATTTTATTAAAATTTGTTATTTTTGCATTTTATAAATTTAAATATTATAAAGTCTCAAGCTCTGAGTATTATAATATGAATTATTCAAAGCCCATGTGCCATAATGGAACGTTGAATTATGGCGTAATGAACTTTGTAATGTGACAATGTAGCTCTTTATATAATAAAACAAAGCTTGTGAAAAAATTCTTTACCATCTTGGTTTTCAGTTCAAATACTCTGACATAAAATAAAAGGATTAAAGTAATAGTATGTTATCAGTGAAATAAACAAAGGTGGGTGATCCACTCAGAAAACTGTGGGACATGATCTAGGGCACTGTCACCTGTGCAGGGAGAAGGGGATTCTCTGGGGAACTATGCAGCCCTAAAGTCCATTCAGAATGGCAGTGGTTTTGTTGTGAGCACTGAGGGCAAGGGAGAAGCATAAGTAAAAGAAAAGTCCCAGGTTTGTGACATGAACAACTAGGAGACTGGCAGGGGCATTTCATGAACTAAAGAGGAGAACACAAGCTGAGTTCAATTTTGGAAGTGTTGAGTGTGAAGCATCTGGGAAACATCAAATGTAGTGGGTGCTGGTAGCAGTGAGGGGAGGTAGACAAGTACACCCATAAGAAGCAGCATTCAGTGAGGCAGGAGGAAAAGCAAAGAGAACATTTTGTGTTCTTCAAAATGCAAAAGAAAAATGGCTTGATCTCTCCTCCATGCTCACAAAGCACTCGAAATGGCAACTCTAGTAGCACTTAACTCATGGCCTCAGAAGTATTCTTGAGTCTATCTTCAGCTCAGAATAGAGTTCCATGAAAGGAAGTTAGCAAACAGCTGTTCAAAAACTGCAGCGGTGATGCTAAAATGAATGAACAAATGAAGAGGTACTAAAGGGAAGGGAACAGCATGCCATGTGCAGCAAGCGGAGTGAAGAACGGAAGGAAGAGAAGATTAAGAAAGTAAAAGCAATTATTTCTCTTTATTTCTAGCCTCCAGGATCTCTCAAGCCATGCAGGAAAGCTCTTGTGTATACAGCCAGCCCAACACCGTTCAGAACCCCCTACCTGGGAACCCTGGGTGGCGCAGCGGTTTGGCGCCTGCCTTTGGCCCAGGGCGCGATCCTGGAGACCCGGGATCGAATCCCACGTCGGGCTCCCGGTGCATGGAGCCTGCTTCTCCCTCTGCCTGTGTCGCTGCCTCTCTCTCTCTCTCTCTGTGACTATCATAAATAAATACAAAAATTAAAAAAAAAAGAACCCTCTACCTATGTGAAAGCTGATGGCCCTTAAAGAATTGAATGCCACCTCTCATAATATAGGCTGGTGGATGGTCCCTTGGTCTTCGGGGTTTTGGCATCTCATCAAGAAGAGGTGGCTACAAACTCATCCCCAGCTGGGGGCTCTCCGACTAAAATTCATGTGGAATTAAATAATTCTAGCCACTTTGGGAGAGGCAGCTTATAATAAAGTTGCCCACCCTCTCCTTGCCTCTCCAGTTAATTTCCCTGACCTACTTCTTTACTAAGTAATCATCCTCTTCTGTGTTGGAACTCATGGGTTGTCTACAAGCTTCTTTATTATTGCCATTGCTGATTGCTTTTGCTTTGCTGTCATTTCAATGAGTTCACATGATGGAAATGGTGGGGAAAATGAAGTCAAGTGCTTGAGGGATGGTGGATCAAGATGGCCATTACAAGTGGGGATCATTTGTAATCTGCAACTTTTAAAGGATCATTTCCAACTCTCAAATATTAAGTTACATTTCAACTCATGTCCCCCAACATTTTGTTTACCTCAGATTAAAAGTAGGGTTTGTTTGGGTCAAAGTCTGTACTACGTTATTTTAATTACTGTTGTAAAGTGTCAGACTGACTTTGGAACAGAAGGAAACCTAGAGATAAAACACTTTGTAAGACATGATTTTTATCACCTGCCACTACAAATAAAATGAAAGGGAGTTTCCATTTATATGAGACCCAGAAAACAACATTTTTACTGCCTCATGGATTTTCTAAAGATTTTTCTAAGATATAAAGATAACATTTGTTCATCACATATAACTAGTGACTGGAGAAAAATGTACAAAAGAAAATGGAATCACTTATAATTGCATCATATCAGGAATCACTGTGAATGACTGTTCACATTTTTAGAACTTGCCCCAATAAACTTTTTAAAATAAATAATATCATTTAAGGCATAATTGTATATATTTTGCAATTTAACACTTTATAAGGAGTAACTTCCTGTGTCATTAAATTTCTTATAATCATAACAACTGTTTAATATTTCCATCTAAGGGATGTACCATAATTCATTTAACCTTTCAGCTGTAGGTTTAAGAAAAACAGTATTTTAGTTTATCGATCTTTGTGTGAATTTCTGATCATTCTACATTCATGGACTGGATTTACTGCTCAAATGAGTATAAACATGTTCAAGTCTCTTAGTGGTCAAGCATTCTCTTAATTATTATGGTATTTGCCAAGCAATGACTTGTGACCAAGAACTATATAGAAGATGCTGGGGATATAGCAGTAGACAGAAAAAGAACATTCCTTTTCTATGAGAAAATTATTTGCTACAAGGGGAAACTGACATTTAAAAGTAAATAAATAAATAGCAATCTAGTATTAAAGGGGGAATTAACAGTATTTTTGAAAAGATTTATTTATTTAGGGCGGGGGGAAGCATGAGCCCGGTAAGGGGCAGAGGGATAGGGACAGGGAGATAAAGAGAATCTCCAGCAGACTCCCTGCTTGGTGGGGAGTACAAGGTGGGGCTTGATCCCATGTCCCTGAGATCATGACCCCAGCCCAAGTCAGACACTTAATGGATTAAGCCATACAGGCACCCCAGTATTAAGTATTTAACAGTATTAAGTAGACCTAACAGTGGAGGGAAAAGAGAGTGTTGAATGAAAGCTCCACCAGAAGATGACTTTCAGAAAAATCCTCAGCCATTCCATCATCTGAGGGAAGGGCATTTCAGACAAAGGGAATAACGAGTCCAAAGATAAAAGCATGAGAAAAGACTTGGCCTATTTTAGGAAGTGAAAGGAGACTGGAGTCCCTGTTGTGTGTTTAGCTTGGGGAATAGTTCCATCTCAGGCTGATACTTAGAAACCAGATCATGCATAGTCTGGTGGGCCAGGGCAAGAAGCTTACTCTTTGAACAATGGGTAGGCAGGAACTGTTTTTCATAGGGAAAGCTAGGATCATAATGTTTGGAGAATTCTCATCTTGATTGGTAGTTGGAGAATAAAAAAGAAGGTAAGAGCCCTAAAGGAGAAACCAGTGAGAAGGACACTGCAGTAACCTATGTCCCAGAAGGTGCCTAGGGAAATCAAAAGAGGTAGGCTAATCTGGCATATATTTTGGAGTATCAGGGTATATAGAATATATAGAGTATATAGCACCTGGCAGTTAATTATCAAATAGCAATAGGAAGTTGAGGAAAAGGTGGGAGTGGGGAGGTGATAGGAGATAGTTCTAAACTATCATCTAGTGCTTGAGTAAATGAGTGGATGCTGGATAACATAATACTATTATATACATGGGAGCAGTTGCAGAAAAAATCTATTTTACAGATATTAAATATGAGATGCCTATTAGACACCAAGTTGAGATAATAAAGACAAATGTTATTGGAGTTGGAAGTAGAAAATATGAAATAGTGAGAAATGTGAACTTGAAAATATCAGTAAATGTGAAGAATCAAGAAAGGTTATTAAAGATGGCAAGTGGCAGTGTGTTTATATACTGATGGGAATAATCCAGGAGAAAAAGAAAAAGAGAAATTGAAAATGCACAGCATACAGAGGATTATGGAAAAACTGAAGTCCTAAGAGAACCCTGGGAGACAGCATGGAACATCCAAGGTATACCAACTAAGGTATATGGAACTGGGAAACTTATTCACCAACTTCCATCCATCACTGGTTGAGACTGCCACCCAAGAGGAGGCAGTGGACAGTTATTCCCCAGCATTTCTGGCCTTCCCTGGACATATGCTGAGCCAATTCTGGTGAGCAGAGAAAGCCATCAGGCCGACTACTAAATGCTTTTGTTAGAAGCTTTGGGTTGGCATATACAGGAATGGTGAGTGCCAAGGGTAAATGGGGCACCAAAAGGATCTTCTACTCTCCCATGTGATATTTTCTTCATGGAATCTGAATTTTAAACATAGAGACAAAACTGGCGACAACAACAACAACTTTGGGTGATACTGAATAGGTGTCAAGAAATTAAAAAAAAAATTGTTTTACCCATAGCCTTGTGCCTCTCATACAGAGAGACCTGAATTGGGGAATTTAATGAATGTTAACTCTCTGGGTCTCAATATCCTAATGTGTAGAATGATGGGAAAAGTAAGTAAGTAAAAAGAATAGGGCTTCTTTACAACTCTAATTTTCAACTATTTGAGTTTAGGTGTAAGGGAACTCTTCTTTGTTCTCATTAGCTGTATCAAAGCATTTGAACAGGTATTTAGTATCTACCATCTAACCACTTCAACTTATTACATATCTCTTTTGAGTATCTACTCTTTGCTAGTCACTGTTCAAAGCGCTTTATATTTGATATCTTTAATCATGGCAGGAATCTGAGAAAGGTAACATAAGTCTCATTTTACAGATGAGGATTCTGATTCTGAGAGGTGCTATGATTTACTCAGATCCTCCTAACTTGCAAATACTTGTTTTGTTTTGTTGTTTTGTTTAATACTGCATGACAGCGAGATGGTGATGACTATCTGCACAAGGAAAGGAAATGAGGAAGCTGTAGTTGGCTCTTCACTCTCAGCAAATGCTGCGGCCGCTGACAATGACCCGAGAGCAGCATGAGAACATGGGAAGACTTTCTCCAAATTCAGCCCATCATTCCAAGTGCACTTCTTTCTTTGGATGCATGAGCGGAACTGAAGAGAGTGCACGAGGGTTCTGGGGTTTACCGACTAATTAGACGTTTTTAAACCCACATAATTCCTTGTTATTATTAATCTCCCCTTAGGCTGCAGCCAGTGGACGGTTGACCACAACAAAGATGGCGGCAGCGGCCTCATCACGGTAACGGCGACGCTATTTGCCAACGAGCGCGTCAATGTCTACTTCCGGCCTGCCTGTTTAACGTCACTTCCGACCCCGGCTCCGCGGCGTGTGCGCCGTTCTTCCCGCTGCCGCGTTGCCCGTGCCGAGCCCCGGGGCTGTGGGATCTGAGTGAGTCTCGCGGAGGGAATCCGAGGGAATGTGGGGCCGGCAACATGGAAGGCGAAGGTGGGAAGCCCGCGGCTGTTGTCGCGGTTGTGACTGAGCCTCGGTTTACCCAGCGATACAGAGAGTATCTCGAGAAACAGCAGCTCCTAGATAGACAGCACCGTCTGGAAAAGATGCCGGATGGCACGGTGGCGCTGCCGGTGCTGGGCGAGGCTCTCCCTGAGCGGCACCTGCAGGAGCTGCGGAACCGTGTGGCTCCAGGCAGCACCTGTAGGGTAACGCAGCTCCTGGATCCTGTTCCCTCAAAGAAGGCCCAGGGTAGTTCGCCCGCCCAGAGGCTGCGTCTTGAAGTGAGTCGCTGGGTAGAGGGCCGGGGAGTGACGTGGTCCGCTGACTTGGAGGCTGATTTGCCCCGATCTTGGCAACGACACGGTAACCTCTTGTTGCTGAGCGAGGACTGTTTCCAAGCCAAGCAGTGGGAAAATCTGGAACCTGAACTCTGGAAGACTGTTGCGTCGGCACTTGGCGTGCATCGTGTGGCCAAACGAGGGCGGGTATCACCCGATGGCACTCGAACACCAGCAGTGACTCTGCTGCTGGGCGACGATGGCTGGGTAGAGCATGTGGATAATGGGATCCGATATAAGTTTGACGTGACCCGGTGCATGTTCTCCTTCGGAAACATCACGGAGAAGCTTCGAGTGGCATCGCTGCCCTGTGCTGGAGAAGTGCTGGTGGATCTGTATGCGGGGATTGGTTATTTTACATTGCCCTTCCTAGTCCATGCTGGGGCTGCCTTCGTCCATGCCTGTGAGTGGAATCCCCATGCTGTAGTTGCTCTGAGAAAGAACCTTGATATCAATAGAGTAGCACATCGGTGCCAGATACACTTTGGGGATAACAGAAAACTGAAGCTCTCAAACATTGCAGACAGGGTGAACCTGGGGCTGATTCCCAGCTCGGAAGAAGGCTGGCCCATTGCCTGCCAACTGCTAAGACGGGATGCGGGGGGCATTTTGCATATCCACCAAAATGTGGAATCTTACCCAGGGAAGACTCTCCAGCCTCCTGGAAGCAGTGAAATGGAAAAGGAGCATTCTTCTTATCCTCAGCAAATTATCACCAACCAATGGACAAATGGAGCTACCAGGGATTCTAGGAGAAAAATGCCATCAGCAGCCACCAAACCAGAGTGGCAGAGGTGGGCAGAGTCTGCAGAAACTTGTATTGCCACCCTTCTTCAGCAGGTGCACGGGAAACCATGGAAGACCCAAATACTGCACATCCAACCGGTGAAATCCTATGCTCCCCACGTGGATCACATCGTGTTGGATTTGGAATGCCGCCCCTGTGCTCTACTTGGCTAAAGAAGGTGGATCCTGAGACACAAGGATCTGCATGTGAGTGACCCTTAATACGCAAGTTTAGGCAGGGCGCTCCCCTCTCTTTTCCCCTGGCAACCTATTTTAATATTTTGTGGCCCTGAAAGCAGGCTCTAGACCAATCCACATCCTCTCATTTGTCTTCCATTAACACATTGAGAATGAACTCTCTATCTGGGAGAAACCGTATGGCTGACTCATTGAAGTGAAGCCTGTGCGGTGAATTCTGACCTCGGTCCTTCCTGTCTTACCTTGGGAACATCCTTACTTGCAAAATGAGGGTTTCTTTGAATGGTCTCACGTGGCTGTTTAATAAGCAGTTGTACACAGGCTTTGATTAATTTAGAGTGAAAGACACAGTGTTGTTTCCAAAATCACTCTAGCTACAATATGGGAAACCGGCCGGAGAAGGGCCAGGATGGAAGCAGGGAGACCTGAGAGGAGGCTTCTGTGGTTGTCCAGGGAGGAGATGGTGGCGGCTTGTATTAGGGTGATGGGCGTGGGAGGCAGGGAAGGGGGCAAGGGGAAGTGGATGGAGTTGAGATGCGAAATTGATGGGACTAAGCAACAGAGTCTAAATCAAAGCATTCAAATGGTGCTTTGTTATTAAGACTGACTAAACTAGGAAGGAAGCAGTTAAGAATTACTCTATTAACTTCATGCCCTTTATCATTCCTAAATGAGTGTTGGGGAAGATGTCTTATACATTAGGTTTGTTGTAGAAAAGAGATTAAGAAGGACTGTTTCAAATTACGGGGAAACTAGATTTCCGGCCTTAAGTTTGTGCAATACGCTACCTATTCTATTTTTATTTTTTAAGAGATTTTATTTGAGAGAGAGCAAGAGTGCATGAGCATGAGTGAGGGTGGGAGGAAGGCAGAGGGAGAGAGAGAAGCAGACTCCCCGCTGAGCACGGAGCCCAATGGGAGGCTCCCTCCCAGGACCCTGAGATCATGACCTGAGACGCTTAATTGAGCCACCTATGTGCCCCTAAACTAGCTATTTTTAAAGTTCAAATCTTAGATTTTAACAGGCCTCAGATTCCCTTTTCCTATTTCTTTTCTGGTGGACATCAGGGCCAAAATAAGATGCTCTAGGGAATGTGAGCCAATCTGCAGAGTTTCTCAAGCCTCACCTTATGTTATGGCTGTCTGCCAGCCCCATTGTTTACCACTGGAATGACTAATTGCAGAGAATCACTGTTTACCTTTGGGATGACTAATTTTGCGAATCACTTCAGAGCTTTGTTTTGGTGCCCTTTGAAACCATCTGGGTTTGTTTGCCTGAAGAAGGAAACATGAAAAGTGTGGCTTTATCAGGATTATGATCGTATCTGGCATTTGGCTGGCTCGGGTTGGGCTGGGGCTGCTTGTTGTTTTCTTGTAATAGTGTCAGTAAGGACAGGATAGGTTCTGTTTCTTATTCGATGCATATTAAGAGCCTTCTATGTATATGAGCTGCAGGTGCATTAGATACAGCCTCAGTTTCTGACTCACAACCTAGCAGCAGAAATAACACAAAAGCAGAAAGAATTGGAATACAATAAGGACCATATGAGTGAAAGCGAGATATAGAAGTGCAAAGGTGGAGAAGAGAAGTGCTGAGAAGGGGGAGGTCTTCAGAGGTAGTATTTGAACTGGCTCTTAAAAACTGGGTAAGATTTTGGTAAGTAGAGTCAGGGTGGAAACATGTTAGTGGGAGAAAAAAACAAGTGCGGAAAATTTGCTCAAAGTGTTTGGAGCATCGTCAGTAGATCAAAAGAAGTAGTGAGAGATGTGTTGAAGATGGAAGTTGTTGAAGGATTAAAAAGAATAGTGTCTAGTACTCAGTAAAGCCTCCAGGAAATGTTAGCTCTCGTTGATCCCACCACAGAAGGGGGCCTGATTGTTCTTTACCCATCCCACAGATTAACCTGTCTTTTTGGCTTAATCATCTCCTTTTTTACATATTGGGTTTCTTCTCACATGTATTCCTGCAGCTTTCAAGCCTCAACCCAAAAAATGCCATGCTGGAGCTTGAGCCAATAAGAGGAGAAGGAAGGCAGGGAGGAAACAATGGGGAAGGTGAGTCAGGAAGCCACCTGCCCAGGGGCTGAGGAATTACCTTTCTTCCATAAGCTATGGTAAGGCAGCTGAAGTCAGATTCACCTGAATGAATCCGTTCATTCTGCTATATATCCACATACAGCAGGGTGGATGAGGGTTGAGGGTTCAGGGGTGCAAGATTGACATGAATTCTATCTTCATGAATTGAGGTTCCACTCATACACCTCCCGGCTTCTCCTTTGTCTGTGACCTGAGGCAGTCTCTCAAGATTCAGTTTCCTCAGGCCATACATAGGGGTTAACAATCCATATGTATCCTGAAGGATACTTGTTAGGTTTAAATGAGTTAATGTACTTGAACTATCATCACAATGATTGGCACATAGTGGATACTTCATTCAGTAGTCCTTGCAGAAGGTGAACTACCACTTCCTAGTTGGGGTGTAAGGAACTGCTGTACATTTGCTTTAGTTAAAGTAGAATGTCCTGATTTTGAAAAGCCACTCATTGATTAGTTGGGATGTACTGTGTCCTCTTTCCGTTAAGCACTGTGATGAGGGCCAGAGACACAGAGGTGAGTAAAGCCCAGTCCTGAGGGGCACCTGGCTGGCTCAGTAGGTAGGGCACACAATTCTTGATCTCGGGGTTCTAAGTTTGAGTCCCATGTTGGGTGTGGAGATGACTTTTAAAAATAAAATCTTAAAAACTAAAAACAAGCGGAGTCTTGTCCACAGTGGGGTCATTCCTGGCGACATGGACACAGAGGAAACAATGTTAATACAGTGAACTAAATGCGGAGACAAAAGGGTTTTTACAGGCACAGGGGAGGCAGCCATCCAGGTTTGGAGATATGGGTTGGGAGAAGTGGAGAGTGTGCCTAGGAAGGCGAGAGCAGGGGATGCTTCAACTGAGAGTTAAAGACTGAGCTGGAGTTATGTGTGAATGGAAAGGAATAAGGGGCCTTAAGCCTTTTTCTCCACCTTCAGTATGTCCATTTACATTACAGTTTTCTCCGAGCACTTGCTGGATTGGCCTGGTCAGGAAGAGGCATCTAATGGAACCAAGGAAAAAAGACTGAAAGGATCAGGAGGCTCCTGGAGTGTTTGTCACCTCAGCCCAGGAATGTGCACAAGTGCTGAAGGCTTCCTTTGTGAGCATCAGTATTAGTTGCTGGTTAATGCACCCACTTGCTGGAGAGGTTGTGATTAAAAGTCAGTAATGATAATTTTATTAAACTCTCTAAACCGTGAGTTACCTTTATTCATTAACTTCATAATATGAATAAAATATGTGCATATATTGATACAGGAGTATAGTGTATACATTTTAAACATAAATACATAGAAATTTAAAATGACAAGAAACAAATAGCATTTTTAATTCACTTTCTCCCACCCTGGGCACACATGTGAGGAGAAACCCAATAGACTTTATTTCTAACAGCCTCAGCGTGCTGTCACTTTACGTTGGGCAAGCTATATCATTTTCTTGGCCTTTGGTAGTTTCCTCTTGTGTATACTGATCATTACTCAGCTGATACTTTGGGGACATGGTTAGCAAGGTGTTTGGGTTCTTTGTAGCTGTCTCTACTCAGGTATTCCACTCTCTGGACTCATTGCTGGCCTCCACCTGGCTTCCCCCTTCTCAAGCCATAGCCCAGAAACTTTCTCTAGGCAGCAATTCAATGGCTCACTTTGTTTGTGGCTCCCATGGATCACTGTTTTTCATTGCCTGTGTCGAGTGCCCTGAGGGTGGTGGTTCATGTGTTTTGTGTAGCTTTTTTGTTTTTTAAACTATTTAGAAGTGTATAAATATAAATAGTAAGTGTATAAATTTACTAGGTTTCACAATCATTGAAGAAGTTCATTCTAATAATAAATATATACAAGAACTTAACCTGACACAGAATTTCAACACATAAACCACATAAAAATTTCTTACCACTATTGTGCTTAGAATCCCTACCTTTATTATAAACTGAATATAAAAATAATAACAATAAATACATCTTTCTGATTAGCTATGATAATACCTGCAAGGTTACTTGATCAACAACCACACAACTTGAGAGAGGCCAAAAACTGTCAGAATAGCTATTTGTCTCTTTGGCTTTTCATTTTTATTTATTTTTTAAAATATTTTATTTATTTATTCATGAAAGACCTAGAGAAAGGCAGAGACATAGGCAGAGGGAGCAGCAGGCTCCTTATGGGGAACCTGAAGTAGCACTGGATCCCAGAACCTTGGGATCATGACCTGAGCCAAAGGCAGATGCTCAACCACTAAGTCACCCAGGTGCCCGCTTTGGCTTTTTAAAGATCAAGGTTGAATCAAAGGCAAATGGAAAATAGTGAATATGAGGTTAAGACTATGTTTTGGTACATACCACATACACCATACCACAGCACATTGCATACACACATACTCATATCATCTTGTCACCTGTATTGAATGGCCCATGCAGTAAAGCTGTAGGTACACTATTAGGTAGATAGATGGCAGATGGATAGACTATCCTAGTTTCTCTATTAGTAACTGAATTTTTTTTTAAATCAAAACTGTATGCATAGTTTCATAACTCAAGTAAAGGTAACGAAACTATGAATAAAACTGCAGTTCCACAATACCACAGTGAAGTGGCTATATCCTACAGCAACTTTCCTCATTTTTGTGTCCACTTTAATGATTTCAACTGGGCCCATGGGTCAAAGGAGATGCAGGATCTAACCAACATGTACCAACAGGAGCCATGAGAGAATGGAACTAGGCCCTGAGAGTTCTGGATATGAAATAGTTTGCATTCCTGTAGGACTCCACTCCCATTATAATATGGTCCAAGGAGACCTAGACAATCTGAATATCACAAAGAACATCACAATAACCTACTATATTTATAGCATCATTACTAATTAGGTCAGATAAACAATAAGCTAGTGTACTGCCATCCAGAGATGGAAAATAATCACTAATACAATCCAGCAACCTGTTACAGTAGTGACATTTTTAGGACTGCTGGTCTGCCTGAATGCTAAGACATCTCCTTCATAGTAAAGAACAAGTTTTTGCCTCTTACCCACTCATTAGTAGTCTTCTACCAAGGAACACACCAACCTCTGTATGGTTCTCTGGGAATTCAGAATTTAGGAATACTCTGGCTCATGCTGGGTGAAATAGAAGGCTGCCAGTTTTCAGTGAGATCCGTAACACATTAAGGCTCTATAGCAGGGTGGAATTAGCTTTGTTCCACAGGCCATTGAATCCAGGAGATTCTGTGGTACAATATATGTGAGGCCATGGGAGTTTACGGCAAGCTCCAATGGGAAAAAAAATCACAAGGTAGTCATAGGCAGACATCTGTAGCAAGGTCAGGTGATTATGTAGTAGAGAACCATGTATCATCCAGAAATGGTTCTCAAATACAAATGGGCGTTGGTAAAATCTGAGTATCTCCTGGGACATCAGGTAACCCTGTAGCTAGTGTTGCCCATCACAAGCTGAGTTTTGTCAGACCCTTCAAGTCAATCCCTCCTAAGATGGAAGCATCATATCTGGGTTGGATGACAAGGCCAGAAGAAAGTAAAAAGTTGCACAGACAGGTGGCCCAGACTCCTATGTCAGATTTATAACTCTTGCATCAGTGCTCTTCCCTCAGGTCACAATTTACAGACACTTGAGAGGCTCTTCTGTCTTGATGAAGGACAAAAATGCACAGCTAAGTTCTTTGATGGGTTCTTTGAGAGACTGCTGCTACCCTACCCCTACAGCCCTACTCAGAAGTGAGGGGAGTCCTCCCAAAAGGCAGAATTGGGAGTATTCCTGGTCCTCCACTTTGTATGGAAAGAGAAATGGCCCAGGACGCCTGGGTGGCTCAGTGGTTGAGCATCTGCCTTCAGCTCAGGGCATGGTCCTGGAGTCCCGGGATTGAGTCCTGCATCAGGCTCCTTACATGGAGCCTGCTTCTCCCTCTGGGTCTCTCATGAATAGATAAAATCTTTAAAAAAAAAAAAAAAAGATAAAATGTGTGTATTAGAAAAAGAGCAATTAAAAGAAAAAAAAAAAAAAAAAAAGAAGTGGCCTGAAGTGAGAGTACCTGCATGGCAAGTGGCAAATAGGCTGATGAGTTGATAGGCACCTGGAGTGGGAAAGAATAGATCAGGGACAAGGAAGCCAGGAGAAGAGGCAGTGGAGAAATCTATGGGATTGGATGCATGAGTAAAGATCTTTGTAGTGCAGAACAGTGCCTACCAGAGACACGCACCATGGAAGAGGAACTAAACAAGTAAACAAAAAGAGTTGGCCAGTTAATTCCAGCAGTTGTAGTCATGAGCTTCCCCAGTAGCGTAATGGGCTCATGAATAAAGTCATATTGAGGGATGCAGGTTAGCAAGATGCCAACATCAACAGCGTGGCCTCTAGCCCCTAGTCACGAAGGAGCCACTCCCTAGTACTCAGCACTGAGCCCTTGATACAACACTATCCTTCAAGGAAACCAAACAGCTAATTGGTAGCAAATGGATTTCACTGGACTTCTGCCATGGAAGGGCAGTGATTCTCCTTGACTAGAATCTTCCCATCTGTATGTATGAGTTTGCCTTTCCTGCCCACGAGATGTTGGCCAGCATTACTACCCAAGGGTTTACAAGCGTTTGATCCGTCAGCATGCAACCCACATAATGTTGCCTCTGACCTAGGGATCCACTTTACAGCAAAAGAGGTGTTTCAGTGGGCACATGACCATGTGATTCACCGATCTTATCACACCCTAGAAAACGCTGGCCTGGTGGAGTGGTGGAATAACCTTTTGAACCCAAACCAGAGCTTGGAGATAATACCCGGTGAATGAGATGCTATTCACCAGGATGCAGTATACACTGTAAATCAACGTCTAATTACATAGTGCCATATCCCATGTAGATAGAAAATGCACAGTTAGGAATGAAAGGGTAGGAATAGAATTTCTCCTGTGGTGGGCTAAATAATGCCCCCCAAATATGTCCATGTCCTGTTACCCAGAACCTGTACTTACACAGTAAAAAGGACTTTGCAGATATGATTAAGAATCTTAAAATGGAGAGAATATCCTGGATTTTCCAGATTGGCCCAATATAATCTCAGAGGTCCTTATAAGAAGGAGGCAGTACAAGTAGTAGGAGGTGTGATGTGTGTGGCAGGATGGAATAATGTAAGGAAGGGGCCACGAGCCAAGGAATGCAGGCAGCCTCTGTAAACTGGAAGAGGCAGGGAAATGGGTTCCCTGAGGACTTCAGGAGGAACAGAATTGTTGACACTTTCTCAACTTCTGACTTCCATAACTCTGAGAGAAGAAATTCATATTTTAAGCCACTAAGTTTGCGGTAATTTGTTACAGCAACAGCAGGAAGTTAATATACCCACTTACTGGTTCCCACTGGCCCTCCCTGGGGAGTTTGTGCCTCCCATCTCCACAACTTTGTGAGACTAGGGGGCTGGTTCATCAGGAGTTACAGTACTAGACCCTTTAAACTTTAACCTACTGAGGTTCCCGTCATGTCAGGCTCCTGGTGCTAAGAGACCAGCAGGCAAGGAGTAGTCACCATTCTGGCTGGGGACAAGTGAATCTCATCATCAGGAGGAAGTAGGGTTATTGTCACACAGTAAGGACAGGAAGGAGTGTTATTTCACGCTTACTCCACATCCACTAGGACGTCTCTTAATACTCCCCTACCCAATATCAAGAGTAAAATGGTGACTTCTAGAATGATAGAATAAGGACCCCTGAGAACTGGCCTCTCTGTGAAGGCAAAGAGAGCACTGGCAAAAATGGTCAAAATGAACCTTTTTTTTTTTTTTTAAAAGTACTCTAGAAACTAAAGGCTTGCAACAATCTGAAAAGCACTTAAGAACTGCTAAATCCTGGGGCACCTGAGAGGCTCAGTGGTTGAGCATCTACCTTTGGCTCATGTGTATCAAAGTCCTGCATCAGGCTCCCCATGGAGAGCCTGCTTCTCCCTCTGCCTGTGTCTCTAGCTCTCATGAATAAATAAATAAAATCTAAAAAAAAAAAAAAACCAGCCTGCTAAATCTTGATTAAAAAGGGAAGCTTCTGGCATTATGACATGCCCTACTCCTGCCGTCCACTCTAATACAAGTTAAATTGTTCTTAACTATAGGGAGAATGCTTCCAGCATGATTCACCACTAAATGATGGGCAGCCTTTGTTAGACCCATTATATTGCTTCATTTTTATCCTTTTCCACTGCACTGTAGTGTCACTTTTATCATAAATCAGGTGACCATATATGTGGGGCTGTTTCTAGACTTTCTTGTTCGATAGTCAGCTATTCTCTCCAAGCACCAATTATACCATCTTGTCTAAATTATTATAGCTTTACAACAGGTCTTGATATCTGAGACTGTATGTCCTTCAACTTTGTTCTTTAAGATTACTTTAGTTATTCTTGACCTTTTGCATTTTCTTAGGACTTTTAAAATCAGCTTGTCATTTTTTTGGGGGAAAGAACCTGTTGATATTTTTTACTGGGATTACATTGAATCTATAGGGTAAAATTGAAATCTTTACAATATTGGGTCTTGAGGCTCTTACTCTACTCAGTTGGGAGCAGCTCTGGAATAAGAAGTGATTATTAGAAGCCCGGACTACAGGATTCCACTTAGGGAGAAGGGTCTTATCCATCTTCTTTGGGCTCCCTGCCTCAGCAGATGTTTCTAACTTAGTATTGTTTATACTCTGCCTGTCAGCAGTATCTTGGCCCTCAGATTATACTTGACCATCTCTTTACATGATTAACATATTTGAACCTATCACCTATTTACATTCTAATATAAATTAAGTACTACAAATGTGACTTTCACATAAAACAACCCAAACTAACAAATAATATCTTAACAGTAGGGATCCCTGGGTGGCACAGCGGTTTGGCACCTGCCTTTGGCCCAGGGCACGATCCTGGAGACCCGGGATCGAATCCCACGTCGGGCTCCCAGTGCATGGAGCCTGCTTCTCCTTCTGCCTGTGTCTCTGCCTCTCTCTCTCTATCTGTGTGTGACTATCATAAAAAAAAAAAAAAAATTAAATTTAAAAAAAAAATCTTAACAGTAGTCCTGAGCCATACATGGAACCATTGCAAAGTGTTGTATGTAGTATTGTAAGGGTTCCAGTGAGTATTTCTCCTAAAATTTGTTCACCATACTAATTACTATTACGTACTGTATATTATCCTAAGTACTTAAAATATATTGTTTTAGTTTGTGTAACCAACATGAAAAATCACTTGCAGAGGACCAGATAGGCTCTGGAATCGGAAAAATACCAACTAGAAACTTGGCTCTCCCACTGTTACTGTTACTTTCAACAGGTTTGTTGAGATTAAACTGGATAATGCATGCTATAGATTTCATATCTTATCTGGCAATATTAACCTTTTTTCTTTTTCTTTTTCCCAGGTGAGGATTCTGATGATTAGAGAGTTTAAGTACTCTGTCTAGAGACAGAGAACTAGCAAGAAGCAGAAGTGGGCAAGCATACTGCCAAGCACATAGAAAGTGCTCGGTAAATGTCTGTTACATGAATGAATGAACCAAAGTAGTCAGTATATACTTAACATGGATTCCAAATGTCACAGTGTTCTCTGTTGTTTCTTTTGTTAACTGAACAACAGACTCTTCCAATTCATATTACATTCACAAAACCAGAAAACTCAAGTAGAAGCTGAATTTTGATGGGCATATCTGAAATTTAATGAAGTGAGAAAAACCATCAGGTAATTTCAGGCCAGAAATTATTTTTTTAAGTAATTTCCAAGGTGTGAGAAAAAGTTATGGAACATATTTTTTTCTTTTTGGGCTATCAGTTCCAGTCCTTCCTACTAGCATTCTCTTCTTCCATTTGAAGTAAATACATAATTCATTGGTGGGGAAGAGGGTGGGGTGGGTGGTTCTAAGTCCTTGTTTCCTATTGGTTTCTCCCACTAAGGAAGCTGCCTGCACCTGCCTTCTGGTGGAAGATACATGGTACAATAAGCTTCACCAATTGCATATCACTCTTGAAACTTGAAAAATAATGAAAATAATCCTCTAATACCTTTTTTGCTTAAGATAGCTCAGAATCATTTGCTGCTGTGTGGAACAAAGACTTGGTAAATGCAAAGATCAATAGAAAATTCAGATAAGTTTTCACACATCTTACTTCCAAAGGCTTTTTAGAACTACTGAAAGGCATTCAGCCATTAAAGCCAAATGAACAGATTGTTATTCTTAAACACAGGTAATTTATGTATATAGAGTGTATCTGTATGAATACACACACATCGTTCACACTGCTCTGTATAGATTCAATATGAATATGTACCTGAGTTGTGCCACACTCATCAATGTAGAAGCCAAGCAAAGATTAAATTCAGTGAATTGCAGCTGTTTCTGAAGGCTTATTTAATTTTTTTTTCATTGTGGTGGGTGCTATGGAGCGATTATGCTTTTTAGGAATTTAGCTTCTGTTGAGAAGATGACTAACACAGACATTTCCTGATATAAAATAGAGAAAACCTCTTGCAAAGCTAAGCAACCCCTAGCTAGTAAGTTCCTTTTGTAAAAAACGATTCCTCTGAGTTTTTCCTCATTGTTCCCCTGTTCCAATCATAGCATCTATTGAGTGGTATGGTAATCACCAACTTTTTGGTAGTACAGGATTTTTAGTACGGGAAGGGCATCCCTTCATCTTTACTTGCAGGTGATTATTTCTCCTAACTTAACCGGACCCATAAAATATAAGCAGGCAGGGGCACCTGGGTGGCTCAGTTGGTTACACATCCGACTCTTGATTTTGGCTCAGGTCATGATCTCAGGGGCATGGGATCAAGCCCCGTGTTGGGCCTCCCTGCTGGGCATGTAGCCTTCTTAAGATTCTCTGCCTCTGCCCCTCTCTTTTTCTCTCCCTCTCTAAAAAGAAAACAAAACAAAAACATGTAAGCAGGCAACTGGAGAAACTCAGACATGATGAAACT